GGACACTGTCTTATCTCAGAAAAACCAGTAAAGGATCTTAGAAGGGGGAGGCAGGCCCACCTAGTTTCCCCAAGTCATCACCCACTCTTTTTTTTTTTTTTTGTCGGTCGTGGGGCTTGAACTCTGGGCCTGGGCGCTGTCCCTCAGCTCTTCAGCTCAAGGTGAGTGCTCTACCACTTGAGCTACAGCGCCACTTCCGGTTTTCTGGTGGTTTATTGGAGATAGGAGTCTCACGGTCTCTCCTGCCCGGGCTGGCTTTGAACCGCGATTCTCAGATCTCAGCCTCCTGAGTAGCTAGGATTACAGGCGTGAGCCACCAGCGCCCGGCTCATCACCCACTCTTAGCAGGGACCAAGGATGCTGGCCTCTATGGGTGCTGGGATCAACCCTAGGGCCTCAAGCACATGCTAAGTAACCACTGTGTCACTGAGCCATGCCATCTGCCTCCTACTTCTTGTAATTTTGTGTCCATACTGCGGATTGAACTCAGGGCCTGGACGCTGTCCCTTAGGTTTTTCATTCAAGGCTGGTGCCCTACCACTTGAGCCAAGGCTTCACTTCTGGTGTGTGTGTGTGTGTGTGTGTGTGTGTGTGTGTGTGTGTGTGTGTGTGTGTGTGTGTGTGTGTGTGTGTGTGTGTGTGTGTGTGTGTGGTGTGTGTGTGTGTGTGTGTGTGTGTGTGTGTGTGTGTACCACTTGAGCCAAGGCTTCACTTCTGGTGTGTGTGTGTGTGTGTGTGTGTGTGTGTGTGTGTGTTTAATTGAAGATAAGAATCTCAGGGGCTTTCCTGCCTATGCTGGCTTTGAACCTTGACTGTCCGATTTACAGGAATGAGCTACCAGTGCCCAGCTTCTCCCGCCTCTTTAGAAAGATGTCACCCCCTTGTCCAAAAAGAAATGTACTCTTGGGGCTGGGAATGTGTCTTAGTGGCAGAGGCCTTACCTAGCATGCGTGAAGCCCTGGGTTTGATTCCTCAGCACCATGTAAACAGAAAAAGCAGGAAGTGGTGCTATGGCTCAAGTGGTAGAGTGCTAGCCTTGAACAAAAGCAGCTCAGGGACTGTGCCCAAACCATGAGTTCAGTCTCCAGGAGTGGCAAAAACAACCAACCAACCAAACAAAAATGTACTCTTTACCTGACTTATGTAACCGTAACCCCTCTGTACATTCCCTTTATAATAACAATTAAAATTTTCAAAAAAAAAAGAAATGTCACCCTATCCCAGGGCCTCCATCTTGGTAGTTGCACAGATCCCTGGGTTTCCTCTCATCTCTATTAAAAAAACAAACAAACAACAACAACAACAAAAAAAACTAGTCTGAACGCTGGATGCAATGACTCCAACCTCTCAGCTACTCAGGAGGCAAAGGCAGGAGGAGCTTGAGTTCAAGGCCAAACTAAGCAAGTTATTAAGACCCTATCTAAAAAACAAAATAGAAGCCAGGCACTGCGGTTCATGCCTGTAATCCTAGCTATTCAGGAGGCTGAGGTTTAAAGATCACGGTTCGAGGCCAGTCTGGGCAGGAAAGTCCATGAGACTCTTACTCCAATTAACTACCAGAAAACTGTATGTGGCACTGTGGCTCAAAATGGTAGAGTGGTAGCCTTAAGCAAAAGTGCTCAGGGACAGCACCCAGGCCCTGAGTTCAAGCCCCATGGTGACAAACAAAAAAAGAAGGAATAACAAAAACATCCTGAAAGGTTGGAGGTCAGGCTCAAGTAGTAGCAGAAGGCCCTGGACTCAATCCACAGTACAGGAAAGAGAAGAGGAAAGGGAAAGGGAAGGAAGAGCTTGGTGCCAGTGGCTCATGCCTATAATCCTAGCTACTCTGGAGACTGAGATCTGAGGATCACAGTTTGAAGCCAGCCTGGGCAGAAAAGTCCAATTACCAATCTCCAATTACCACTCAAAAACTGGAAATAGAGTTGTGGCTCAAAGTGGTAGAGTGGTAGCCTTGAGCAAAAGAGCTCAGGGACAGTGTCCAGGCACTGAGTTCAAGCCCCATGACTGACAAAAAATAACATAAATAAAGAAGAAGTAAAAAAGAGAGGAGAAAGCTGGGCACTGGTGGCTCACACCTGTAATCCTAGCTACTCAGGAGGCGGAGATCTGAGGATCTCGGTTCAAAGCCAGCCCGGGCAGGAAAGTCCGTGAGACTCTTTTTTTTTTTTTTTTTGGATCCAATAGTGGGGCCTGAACTCTGGTCCTGGGCGCTGTCCCTCAGCTCTTCAGCTCAAGGCTAGCACCCTACCACTTGAGCCACAGTACCACTTCCAGCTTTTATTTTTCTGCTTATGTGATGCTGAGGAATCAAACCCAGGGCCTCAGGCATGCAAGGCAAGTGCTCTACCACTGAGCCACCTTCCCAGCTTGTCAGTGAGACTCTTATCTCTAATAAAAACCACTAGACAACTGGAAGTGACACTGTGACTCAAGCGGTAGAGCACTCGCCTTGAGCTGAAGAGCTGAGGGACAGCGCCCAGGCCCAGAGTTCAAGCCCCACGACTGACCAAAAAAAAGAAAAAGAAAAAAAGAAAGAGGAGAGAGAGAGAGAAGGGAGGGAGGGAGGGAGGAAGGGAGAGAGGGTAGGCTAGAGTCTCAATAGCAAGTGTTAGTTTCTAGATTAAAACTTGTGTATGGAAAGAAAAAGAGAAGTAAAAGATAAAAAGTATTTTTCATCCACATCATACAATGCCAACTGCCCCGTGTCCTCTGGCCCTAAAACCTGTTTCTCCTGCTAGGTTTCTAACCCTCAGTCCTTCACCCCCCCTCATAGGGATGGAACCCAGGGCCCCACGGTACTCTACCACTGAGCAGCCACCCCAGTCAGAATGATGCCATTTTTATACCCTTGTCAGACAAAATAATGCCTACAAAAATAATTTGATAAGGAAAGAATCCTATCCCAGCTCACATGTTCACATTTTTGTTTGGAAAACGATCCCAGTGCCCATAAAAAGAAAAGGACAGTGGTGTCCTGTCCCCAATTGGTCTCCAGCAGCGCCAGAGGCTGAAGGCTGGAACACCTTCCAGCAAAAACATTGGGCCCCCAGTTGGAGCCCAGAGCCACGTCTGGGTCTGGTGGAGCTGGCCCCGTGCCCACCCAGCTGAGCCATTTCCTCCACACGGAGCAAGCTGCCTACCTGCCGGGAGGGAAGGGTACTGGTGCCTAGGCAGGGGTGGGGCTTCCATGGGGATCCCCCATTCTAGAGGAGGATGCTCAGGTACCCTGTAGGTGCTAAAACCACCCAGGGCTTTGCAAGCCCAGAGCCCCTGGCCCTGCCTCTGACCCATACCCTGTAAGTAGTCCTAGATGGTGTGGCTGGTTTTGCTTTTTTGGTTTTGCTAAGACTGAGGCTTGAACTTAGGGCCTGAGTAGATATCTTATCATCCTCACTCAAGACTGGTGTTCTGGGCTGGGAAGGTGGCTCAGAGGTAGAGCTCTTGCCTCGCATGCATGAGGACCTGGGTTCGATTCCTCAGCACCCCATAAGCAGTAAAAGCCAAAAGTGGTGCTGTGGTTCAGTGGTAGAGCTCTAGCCTTGAGCTGAAGAGCTGAGGGACAGCGCCCAGGCCCAGAGTTCAGGCCCCATGATTGGACAAAAAAAAAAAAAAAAAAAAAAATATATATATATATATATATATATATATATTGGTGTTCTACCACTTTGAGTCTCATGGACTTTCCCTTCTAGGCTGGCCTTGAACCATGATCCTCAGGTCTCAGCATCCTGAGTAGCTAGGATTAGAGGCATGAGGCATCAGTGCCCCACTTAGTGGTCTTTGTGTGAAAAGACTGCCCCTCAGAGCCTGGAGTCCTTAAAGGCTCTTCTTCAGGCTGTACCTCCTTCCGGTAGTCCAAACAACCAGCCCCTGGCCTGGAGGCACCCCTGCCCCCTGCCCTCTGCCCTTTGCCCTCTTCTGGGATGGTTCTCATGTGAATGGTAGCCTCTGTCTCTGCAACCAAACCACTCACAGGGCAGGCTGGCTGCCTGACCTGGGAGAACAGATCTATTCGAAAGGCCCAGACACGGGGCTGGGAAGGTGGCTCAGTGGTAGAGTGCTTGCCTTGCGTGCATGAGGCCCTGGGTTCGATTCCTCAGCACCACATAAGCAGTAAAAGCCAAAAGTGGTGCTGTGGTTCAGTAGTAGCGCACTAGCCTTGAGCTGAAGAGCTGAGGGACAGAGCCCAGGCCCAGAGTTCAGGCCCTACAACCCCCCGCCCCCCCAAAAAAAAAAAAAAAAGAAAGAAAGCTGCCAAGGATATTCTAGAACCTTCCAGGAATGAACCTACCTATTTCTCAGGACCCTGTGAACTTCCCTGGCCCCCAATTTTCAACCAGAAGAGGGAAGCAGGGAACATGCAAAAGCTCAAGAGGGGCAGCGCTTAGCTGAGATTGCACGAAGGGAGACGGAGGAACTAGTCCCCAACACTGCGCTTTGCTGGCCTTCCTCTTGCCTCTGAATGGGGTAAAGATGGGAAGGACATCCATGATCTTCCACAAGCCAAGGCTGGGAGCTGGGGACCAACAGCACTGTCACGCTCCCTCCAGCTCCACTCGGGGATGGGATGGGACAGGCACCATCCCCCGGGGCTCCTCTGCACCTCAGTATTATATTCCTCCCTGTTCCAGACCCCAGTCTCTCTTCTGCAAGGAGCACTGTCCCCAGGAAACCCACCTGTGCCAGCCCGGAGATACATGTGTCTCTCCCTCTCCTTATCTGGGATTCTAAGCACAGGATGAGAAAACCATCTTTATTGTTCATGAAGAGGACAGCGGGGCGGGGGGGAAGGGGGGGTAGTGGTGGGAGGGGGAGATGCTAGTCTGAGGACACAGTCACCCCGAATCCCTGCTCACTCTGACAAGAGGGACTAATGGGGGGCTCTAAGAGCCCTGTCCACTGAGGTCCCCCCTCCCCTTAGGGCCCAACCCCATGTCCAGATGGGCTCCGCCCTGTCACTCCGCCTCCTGAGCAGCATCCTGAGAAGGCCTGGCTGGTCAGCTCTCCAGTGTCTGTGCCGACTCCAGGGCTTCCCTGGGGATGTCAGGAGACGCCATCCTCTGGGACGGGGCTGCCAGGGTAGTAGCAGTGGGAGATGGGGGCTGGCGTGGAGCTGCCCCAGACGAGGGCCTCAGGGGTGGAAAACTCTGTCGGAAGGAGGGGAGAAAAGTAATATGCAACACCACCCAATTTCCATCCCTCCACCCCCGCTTGGCCTCAGGACCCCCATTAACTGAGACCTTCCTCCATTCTGGCTTCTGGGGTACTGAGCAGGGTGGGGTGCTGCTCTACCTTCTCCCTCCCAGAGACCCCAAAGCTCAGCCACCAAGAGGCAAGAATCAGGAGATCCAGCCCACTCTCCCTGGCTGCCAGTTTTTTGGTTTTTTTTTTCTTCCTCTTCTCCTCCTCTTCCTCCTCCTCCTCCTCTTCTTCTTCTTTTTTTTGGTTGGTCATAGGGCTTGAACTCTGGGCCTGAGTGCTGTCCCTCAGCTCGTCAGCTCAAGGTGAACACTCTACCACTTGAGCCAAAGTACCATTTCCGGTTTTCTGGTGGTTTATTGGAGATAAAGAGTTTCATGGTTTGGGGCTGGGAAAGTGGCTCAGTGGTAGAGCGCTTACCTTGCATGCATAAGGACCTGGGTTCAATTCCTCAGCACCACATAAGCAAAAAGAAAAAAGCCGGAAGTAGTGCTGTGGCTCAAGTGGTAGAGCGCTAGCCTTGAGAGCCTTGAGCTGAAGAGCCGAGGGATAGTGGCCTGGCCCAAAGTTCATGCCCCATGACTGGACCCAAAAAAAAAAGAGTTTCATGGCTTTTCCTGCCAAGGCTGGAAAGAGTGAGACAAAGATTTGGGTGTAGATTCTGGGGAGTATATGGGGGAGGGTGCCCACCTGTATCTGGCAGAGGTCCAGCAGGATATGGACGCCCAGCAGGCACCAGAGCTCACCCAGCAGGGAGACAAGTATGCCCAGGAGGTCCAGCCAGCGGCCCACAGTCAGCAGCAGCACGAAGAGGCCGCCCATGCGCACAAGAACTGTCTGGACCTGGCTGTGCAGGCTGAAGCGCTGATGCCGCTGCTCTTCTACAAGACAGGCCCCGCCTGTCACCACCGACCACTGCCATACCCAGGCCTGGCTGGGCCAGCCTGGACCTCTTAGCTGCCCAGCCTGCTCCCAGCCTTCCTCCCTGCCCTCCTCAAACCAGTTGCTCTTTGAGCAGCACGGGGAGCCCAGGCCTACCTCCCAGGAGGCCGTACTCTGCTGGGTGAGGCCTGAGCCCTAGTGCCTCTGGCTGCACAAACCTATGCTGATCACCCCAGCCACTTCACCAAAGCTTAATGGAAGTCCACGCTCCTACACCACACCCTTGTCCCATCCACTTCCTCTCTCCAAAGCCTCTCATGGTTCCTGGCTTCTATTGTTTTCTTTTATGCATATGCCCACAGTCCTTAGGCTTGAACTTGGGGTCTGGGCATTGCTCTAATCTGATTTTTTGCTCCAGGCTAGTACTTTAGCTTTTTAGTGGTTAGTTGGAGATAAAGAGTCTCACCAATTTTCCTGTCCAGGCTGGCTTCAAACAGTGATCCTCAGATCTCAGCCTCCCTGCATGGCTAGGATTACAGGTGTGAGCGGCCAGCACCCCACATGTTTTTTTCATTTCTTTGAATTGGATCTCTCTACCTGTGTCTAGACTGGCCTCAAATGCAAAATCATCCTTGCTTCTAACTCTTGAGTGCTGGGAATACAGGCAAGTGCCATTATGCTCACCTGGTTCCTGACATTATAATCCAGTCTCTACTGATCAGCTAAAGTGACCTTTTAGCCATATCAACCAGATGAAGCTGTTCCTCTGTTTATAACCCTCCCAGGACTTCCTGTTGAGTTTAGAGTAAAATCCAAACTTCTCTCTATACTGACATGCAAGGTCTTGCTTGCTGTGGCCTGAGCCACTTCCAATTTGTAGCTGACTCATTCCCCGCTGCTTCCTACACTTCCTTTTTGCTCATTGGACATATTGAGCGTATTCCCACTTCAGGGCCTTTGCACTTGCTGTTCTTTCTGCCTGGTCCTGCAGCTCCCACCCCATCCTTACTCTGCAGCCAGGTGGCTTATCCCAGACGCCACATCTAACCAGATGCCTTTTCCTGCTTGGGACTCTGCAGTGGTTTCTCATTACACTGCCCAGCCTGGTTGATCAGTGGGGTCTTTAAGAATGTGGCCAGCCTTCCCCAACACCTCTACCCCATGCCATTTGGGTATACTGGTGCATGCTGCACATGGGCAACTCCAGCTGCTCTGAAATGCCCCACCAGACTGTGTCTGTCCCAGACCAGGATGGCAGAGCTGGGGTCTGAGCCTGGGGCAAACAGTGGGCTGTGACCACCAGTCGGGAGGATGCAGCCTCTTGGCCCTCACCCTGCATGTAGATGACCAGCAGTGCATAGCAGATGGTGAGTGGTGTCCAGAAACGCACAGCCTCTGAGGTGCTCAGGAAGTCCCGGTTGATGAGGGCCACAGCTGCCAGGTCACCCACGGCAAAGGCCACGGCCAGAGAGCGGCCCAGCAGCCTGGGGAGACGGTAAGCACTGGCCAGCAGGCCCAGGCAGACCCCGCAGTAGTTCTGGCTGCTGTGCAGTTCGTAGAGACAGAAGACGTGGCGGCGGAGGCGCTGGGCACTGGAGCCCAGCAGTGCAGCCAGCCCCAGGCTCAGCAGCAGGTTCAGTGTGCGGTGAGGGGCGCCCTCCTGCAGGAAGCTCAGCCCGCAGCTCAGGCCGCAGCCCAGTGAGTACTGGCACAGCAGGTAGAGCTTCAGGTGTTCTGTGTTCCCAGGGCCCTGTGGGAGAGGCGGCTGCTGGGGGCTGTCATGTCACACAGACTCCACTGCAGGAGGCTGGGGGCTGAAAGGACCTAGAGAGCCTTCCAAAGAGGGGGAGCCCTGTCTTCGGGATGGGCCCTAGTGGAGGGTTTCCACTCGCCCATCTGACTCCTGGAGGATGACCATCAGAGCCCAGAAGACTTGGCTTCAAACTCAAGTTGCATGGGATGGGTATACCTGTAATCCCAGCACTAAGGAAAAAGGATCATGAGGTCAAGGCCAGCCCGGGCTACAGATCATGAGCCTGTCTAGCCAAGTACTGACGCCTTACTCTTGTAATCCTCGCTACTCAGGAGGCTGAGATCTGAGGATCATAATTTGAAGCCAACCTAGGGCAGGAAAATCTGGGAGACTCTTCTCTCCATTAAACCACACACACACACACACACACACACACACACACACACACACACACACACACACACACACACACACACATCCAGGAGTGGTGCTAAGGCTCAAGTGGTAGAGGACTAACCTTGAGTATAAAAGCCCACACCCAAAATTCAGCAACAACAACAAAAAAAGCCTGTCTCAGCTGGGTGCCGGTGGCTCAAGCCTATAATCCTAGCTACTCAGGAGGCTGAGATCTGAGGATCTCAGTTCAAAAACAGCCCTGGAAGCAAAGTCCATGAGACTCTTTTTTTTTTTTGGTCGGTCATGGGGCTTGAACTCTGGGCCTGGGCGCTGTCCCTCAGCTCTTCAGCTCAAGGCGAGCGCTCTACCACTTGAGCTACAGCGCCACTTCCGGTTTTCTGGTGGTTTTATTGGAGATAGGAGTCTCACAGTCTCTCTTGCCCGGGCTGGCTTTGAACCGCGATCCTCAGATCTCAGCCTCCTGAGTAGCTAGGATTACTTACAGGCGTGAGCCACCAGCACCCAGCTTCCATGAGACTCTTATCTCCAATAAACCACCAGAAAACTGAAAGTGGTGCTGTGGCTCAAGTGGTAGAGTGCTCGCCTTGAGCTGAAGAGCTGAGGGACAGCGCCCAGGCCCAGAGTTCAAACCCCAGGACAAAAAAAAAAAAAAGCTTGTCTTAAAATAAAAACCTCCTAGGGCTGGGAAGGTGGCTCAGTGGTAGAGTACTTGCCTTGCATGCATGAGGCCCTGGGTTCGATTCCTCAGCACCACATAAGCAGAAAGAAAAATAAAAAATAAAAAAAAATAAAAACCTCCTAGACTCCATCCCTGCTGGCTGTTGACTGTGGGCTCCAGCTGAGCCTTAGTTTCCTTACCTAGAACAAAAGATCACATCAAGCCCTTTGCTCCTATGGCCATGGGGACTGTGGGGAGTGGGGGGGGCGCACGTGAGCGTGCTGTGTGGGTATACCAGGGCTTGAACTCAAGCCTCATGCTCTCACTTAGCTTTTACACTCAAGGCTGGAGCTCTTCTACTACTTAGCTATAGCTCCACTCCTGGCTTATCCTGGGAGATAAGAGTCTCACAGACTTTCTTGCTGGAGCTGGCTTTGCACCTGGTACCTCAGATCTCAGCCTCCTGAGTAGCTAGGATTACAGGCCTGAGCCACTAATCCCCAGTCAGGCTGGGGGGATTAATGAATGCCGATGAATGAATGAATGAATGATGTTCCAAGCCTGGCTTTGGGAAGCTTGGTATCCAGAGCCAGCTTCTTTTTCTTGGTATCTGCTGGGAGTGCAGATGTGACTTAACCCTCACCAACCCAGGGAATAGGCAACTGCTCCTGGCCTAAACCGGAGGGAGGAAGGGGCTCCAGTGAACAATCCTCCTCAGTCCACTCCTGTGCTCTTACCTTGTTCAGGGACAGCAGTGTGGACACAGCCCGGAGGGAGAACTCCAGCACCACCAGGGCGGCCACCCGGGCCCCCACCACCATCAGGATCAGGGCCAGCCCCACCAGGTGCACGGGCTCCAGCCAGGCCCACTGCGCCCGCAGGCGCTCCTTCTCAGGCTGCCGCTGGGGGGCACTGTGGGGAGGGGGCACGGTGGGGAGGGGGCACTGTAGGGAGCAGGTGCCAGCACACCCCCCTGGGGGTGGCCCAGCCACCCACCAGTGGAGGCATGCTCCTCCCAGCCCTCCCCAGAGAGGCCAGGGTCCCCACAGGACCCCCTCCCCCTTCATATCCCCCTCCCCCCACTCACTTGGCACAGCCCATGAAGAAGTACACTTTCAAGACGCTGCTCAGAACCGAGACTCCAAATGCTCCCACCAGGCCTGGGACGGGGCGGGCGGGGCCGGAGGAGGCCAGGAGGCCGCCGCAGGTGGAGGCATGGGGTGTGGGTGCAGGCACAGGTTAGCTCAGGGCCACGTGGATAGGGGGAGCCCAAGTGGGAGGGACCCACCACGCCCACCCCACAGCGGCGGGGCCCAGGCGGGAATGGAGGGGGCGCTCACCTTGCAGGAGGCTGTCCAGGAGATTGGAGCCCCATTCCAGGGATGGGAGGCTGGGGAGCCAGGCAGAGAGGGACGGCAGGGAGAACATGGCAGCCGGGACGGGCCCCAGCCACCAGCTAGTTCGGCCAAGGGACAAGACCTAGTGATGTCACTGGGCAAAGGTATGGGGACTGGTGGTGGGGAGGAGCCAGGAGAGGTCAAAGGCCAAGTGGGGGAGCCAGAGGCCTTAACCCTTGAGGGCTGTGGGAAGGAAGGCCCAGGCTGGGGTTCAGGGCCCCTGGCTGCCCCCCCCCCCTGTCCAATGTGGGCGGTAGGCACAGGGGTGTCTATAGGCCTCTGTCCTACTAAAGTCTGGCTTCCACTTCTTTCTCCTCCCTCAGGGTTTTGAGCCTCACACTCCTTTCTGAAGCCCACCTATGCCGGTCCTGCGCAGTTTCAGCCTAGGTGTGGTCTGTCCTTCGCGGTGAAGTAAGGGTCTCCCCTAGCCGAACACCAGGCTCTGTCCGAGGGGCTCCATGAAACCCGAGGTCAGGGTCTGCTCTCTCCACGTGAGGCCTGAGGTCTCCCACTGCCTGGTCTCAGGTTCTGTCATCTAGCGCCCAGTGGCCAGGCTTTGTTCTACATCTCTCCCAAACCGAGATCAGGCCCTGCCCTCAGCCCAAGTCTGGGTCCACGGCCAGCTGTCAGGCTCCAGTCTGCTTCCAGCCAGTCGGCAGGTTTGGACTCTTCCCCAGCTGAGGTCACTGCAGGGGCGCTGTGACCTTGGCGCTTACATTCTCAATCGCCCACTAGGTGGCAGGCCTCACCTGGCCAGATGAGGTAGGGCTGGCTGTTGGAAACCTTTCTAGTCCTCCACCCTCCCTTCCTTCCCAGAAAGAGCCAGAGCTAGGATGAGGTTTCACGAGAGCAGCTAAGTACAGAAGAGACACAGAAGTAAACAAAAGTAAAAAATTAAAAAAAAAAACACTTTTATTGGAGTGTACGTGGGGGTTGCTTCTGGGAACAGCTCCTCACCCTTGGGGAAAAACTGCTTGACCCTGAGCTGGCCTTGTCCTGCTTGGTGTCTCTGTAGTGCAAAACTTAACTCCAGCTTTCTAAAGTAGCCCATGGTGGGGTGTGGCTGTAGTATGGAGTCTTACTAGACTCTGCCTTCTATTATCTGGGTCAGCCAGTAGGTCTTCAATAAAAAAAAAAAAAACCCTGGGTAGTGTCTGAGCTGAACTGTGTCCTCTCAAATTCATTGCTGAGGGCTGGGCATATAGCTTAGTGTCTGTAGAGTGCTTGTGTAGCATGCATGAAGCCCTGGGTTTGATTCCTCAGTATCAAACAGAAAAAGCCAGAAGTGGCTCAAGTGCTAGAGTGCTAGTCTTGAGCAAAAGAAGCTCAGGGACAGTGCCCAGGCCCTGAGTTCAAGCCCAGGACTAGCAAAAAAAAAAAAAAAGCCAGATGAAGTGCTGAAGCCCAGTCCTGCCCCACTAGAGCTAGGAAATGGCCTCTGTCAGTTAACATGAAGTCCCGGGTCCAACATGACTGTTAAGCTTTTCATATTTCTTGTACCAGTAGTGGGGCCTGAACCAGAGTCTCATGCTCCCTCTTAGCATTTATTTATTATGTATTTATTTGCTTAAGGCTGGTGCTCTACCACTTGAGTTACATCTCTTCCAGCTTTTTGCTGGCTAATTAGAGATGAGTCTCCCCAATTTGTCTGTGCCAGTTAGATTCAAACTTTGATTCTCAGAGCTCAGCCTCTTGATTAGCTAGGATTACAGGTGTGAGCTACTAGTACCCACCTGGGCTGCTAAGAAACAGCTGGGACCTACATACACACAGTGGGGTAGTCAGGAGAAAACAGAGTAGGACATTAGGCTGGCACAGCATATGCCTAGCATGCTATAAAGCAATGAAACTAAACAAACCCTCCCTAATGCTTGGATCTCAGACTTCCAGCCTCCTGAATGTGGGAACAGTTTCTGTAGTTCCAGTCTCGTGTCCATAGTTCCAGTCAGGGAAGCCATGGAAGACCTCACGGCCTCACTGGGGAATCCTTGGGGCTCCTCGTGTGGACAGTGCCCCCTAAGGGACACCCAGCCCCATGGTCCTGGTATAGTAATGCCCTTGTCCTGCCACTTGAAAGCTGTGTGGCTTTGGCCAGGGCTGTGCCATGCTAAGCCTCAGCGTCTTTGTAGTCAAAGAGGATTTTAGCATCACATTAGAACTGATACAGTCACTCAGCTCATGATGCTGTTCCTGCCACAGCTCCTACTATGATAACAAGCAAGGTGCTGGGAATCAGTGACCCAAGACAGAGAAAGGACTTGAAGGCTTAGAGTGGAGCCTGGGGTTGTCTGCACTCTCTCCCAATCTGTTTGTAGGGCCTGGGCCTGAGTCTGTGGCTGGTCCTACTGGAGCAAGCCATGTCCTCTGTCCAAGTGCCAGACTGTATCAGGAGGTAGGGTCTGGCCAGTGTCAGGCCTAGGTGCTTTGGTGTTGGGTCTTCCTGGCCAGTTTCCGTAGCTCATCCCAGAAAAGCATGCTGAGGATGGTATGGGGTCCCAGTCGCAGATAGGCAGGGCCCAGACCCTTGTAGAGCGCCAGAGGACCCTCTTGTCGGCAGGTCTTCACCAAGCAGTCAGCAAGGCCCTTGTACAGCTCACCCTGGGAACACACAGGGACAGGGGTCACTGCAAGGGCTGCTAGCCCCCCGCTGGCACAGCCAAGTGTCTGAGTGCTCAGGGCTCTGGCTGGCACATCAGAAAAGGCTCTGGTCCAGCTGGGAGGATGATAAGTGACCGCTCAGGAGCCTTCAGACAGACACAGTCCCTGCCAGGGAGCGCAGCGGGGCTAATGGCACATGGGCACCTTTGTCTTGGTCACATGGAGGCCAGCAGTGCCAGGGGAAAGCAGCTGTTCTGTCCTGGCTCCTCTGTTTACAGATGGTGAGTGACATTCTCAAGAATGTCACTTGACCTCTCTGACCCTCAAATTCAGCAACAGGGCAAAGAATGAAATCCTCAGCAGGAACCAGTGCTGGACACCTGTAAGGCTAGTGGCTCAGGAGGCTAAGATCTGAGAGTTGCCATTTAAAACCAGCCTGAGGGGCTGGGAAGGTGGCTCAGTGGTAGAGTGCTTGCCTCACATGAGGCCCTGAGTTCGATTCCTCAGCACCACATAAGCAGAAAAAGCCGGAAGTGGTGCTGTGGCTCAAGTGATAGAGTGCTAGCCTTGAGCTGAAGAGCTGAGGGACAGCGCACAGGCCCAGAGTTCAGGCCCCACGACCGGACCCACCCCCACCAAAAAACAAAAAAAACAGCCTGAGAAGAAAAGTCTATGAGACTCTTCTGTTAACCAACAAAAAGCTGAATTAGAGGTGTGGCCCAGTGGTAGAGTGCCATCTTTGAGTGAAAAAGCTAATGGACAGTGCCCAGGACTTGAGTTCAGGCCCCCAGTATCAGTGTGCACACATGCACACACACAATTTTTTTTTTTTGCCAGTCCGGGACTTGAACTCAGGGCTTGGGCACTGTCCCTGAGCTTCTTTTGTGCAAGACTAGCACTCTACCACTTGAGCCACAGCGCCACTTCAGGCTTTTTCTGTTTATGTGGTACTGAGGAATCCAACCCAGAGCTTTATACCTGCAGGGCAAGCACTCTACCATTAAGCCACATTCCCAGCTCGACACATAGAAATCATATCAGAATGCTTGGGCCAGGTACCGTGGTTTATGTCTGGAATCCTAGCTGAGATCAAGCCCAAGTACTGGCAAGGAAATAAAGCTCCGCACAGATGACTGGGACCCAGGTACTCAGGCAACAGTCTCAATGGGATGCTGCCTACGGGGCATGTGTCCTCATGCCTTTGGCTAGGTGCTTGGGTTGGGGGACCCCCTACTCTCCAGTTCTCCTCCCTCACCCCTGCTCACCCTGCCTGCTCCGTCCACGGGCTGATTGTACAGCCGTGTGCTGACCACGTCGAAGGGGGTCATGATGGCCACCACAGCCACGCTGCTGATCATGCCTCCAGCCAGGGCCACCAGCCAGCTGTCCTCCAGGAACCACTGTAGGGGTGGCATAGGCTGCTGACCTGTACCCACCCATGTGGCTACCCCCCCCCCCAACACGGAAAGGGCTGGTACGGGTAGCAGATGAGATCCTCTTACTGTTCCCACCCCTAGCCTGCCACCCCAAGATCCTCCACAGCTTCATGGTCACTGCTGATCCCTAACTCTTGCTGGGCTCAAGGGCCAGGCCACAACTTGGTTAGTTGAAGGGCTCTGATTTGTCAGCTCCCTTGGACTTCCCTGTGTAGGAGGCCGGTGACCTGCTCCCATTTGTGTGAGTGACCAGGCACCCTGGCCCCTTACCTGTTTCTCCTGTACCCAGGCCTTGGCAGAGGCAAAGGTTGCTAGCTGAGCAGCTGAGCCCACCATGACTCGGGGGACGGCCCCACCCACACCTCGCCACAATCCCATCAGGCCCTGCTGTCGCCAGATGGTCTCCAAGGCCCCTAGGACACTCTGTGGGGAGGGGAGGATGCAGATCACTAGCCAGCCCCAGCCCAGCCTGGAGTCCAGCCCCCCGGGACAGCCCCTGGGCTCACCTGGTGCTGGTGCTGGTGCCCCACGACCACTGTGGCCACAGACTGGGCCTGCAGCTGTGTCTTTACCTATGAAAGCAGAGGGCCTGAGGGTCTGGGGTGGAGCTGGGGGGGAGGGGGGGATGAGCTGGGTGGCTGTGTACAGGCCCCTGTCCTGCAGAGAGCAGCCTAAATCCAGAAGCCCCAGCCCCAAACCTGAAGCTTGAGGGCGGTGAGGCTCTGGGTTTGGCCTGGGCTGGCATGTTGCTGGGACTTGGGGCAAGTTCCTCAGCCAACTCTGAGCCTCAATCTAACATTCCTAGAGTGAGAACTGAGTGAGAAGATGACTGTGCTGTGCCCTGCCCCCTAACAGGACCTGGGATCCTTGCTTAGAGGCAACTCTGCTTTTTTTTTTTTTGGTGGGTTGTGGGGCTTGAACGCAGGGCTAGGACCCTGTCCCTTAGCCTTTTTGCTCAAGGCTAGTTCTACCGCATTGAACCACAGCACCACTTGCAGTTTTCAGGTGGTTAATTGGAGATGAGTCTCAGGGACTTCTGCCTGGGCTGGCTTGGAACCTCAATTCTCAGATCTCAGTCTCCTGAGTAAGCTAGAATGATAGGCA